ACCAGAAAAAAGGAAGCACAACTTGCTTAGGTTGATATCAGGTAGCTTTCCTTCATCTGATTGTAGCCAATGAGCATGAGTGTTTAGAGAGCCAATCAGGTGTCATCTTGTTTTGGCAATGAGCCAATCAGATCACAGTAGGATTCAGTTATTGATGTCATGTATTGAAGCTGAGAGGAGGACATTTGTCAGTGTGTTACGTGATCGCTATCAAGTTGGTTGGGTTTTTTTGTGTTCTTTCATTTAGTGAGGTTGTAAAACGTAATAAAATTAAAGTAATAGTGCAAAGAGTTGACTGGTTGCCCAGAAAGTGATGTAAAATAGTATTATTAAGTGAACAAGGCTACAGTTATAAAGAAATTAGAAGAAAAATTGGTGGAAACTTAACCAAAGGTGGCATTTCTACTGTACACTTTTCCCAAAAGGTTTCCACAATTTTGGCCACTACTGTAAATGTGTATATTCCACAAGCAGCTGAAAATGGGAAAAAATGTAGTTGTTACAGATAAGTTCTGCAGATAGGTTCTGGTATATACTTGCAGATAGATTCTGTGGTCATGCTCTTGTATACCTTTTCTTGAAATATCTTTTCAGAAACAAATCAAAAGTCTTGCATTGCTTATTAATTTTTTTACATACCAATATATTAAATAATTACAGATGATGCCATACAGTAAAGAGTGATATATATTCATCTCAACATGCTGAGCAGTAATTAAAAAAAATCTTGAAATTTGAGATCAAATGATCACTTAAGTATTGAGAATACATGCTCTCTGATTAGTTCTGAGCTCTTTATTCCCTATCGTATAGTAAGTTCCATACAGGGCAGAATAATAAAAATATTAAACATATTATTGTAGAAGATTTCAAAATACCTTTTCGACGGACAATGAATTCGAATTTAGCTGGCACCAGGGTGTCCAAGCTGATATTAATAGCATCTAGGCCAGCCTCTTTTAGCCGGGGTAACAGTCTGGCTAAATTGATTCCATTGGTTGTGACAGAGATGGTTTTCAACCCTTCTAATTTGCGTAGCTGAGCTGAGAAAATACAGGGGTGACAAAAGATTAGCAACTATATTAAACTGAACAACAGGAAGAGAAAAAAAAAATAACGATGATACTTTCATCCTGTAATTTATATATAATAATATAGGATTTTGAGCATCACATCTGGGGTTTCCTAAATTTGTTTATGGAAATCTATATCTATTTCTCTAAATTTGGTGATCTGCAAATTTTTAGTTAAAAAACTCCTTAGTTGGCACCATCACTCATAATCAAGATAAAAATATCAATATACTGTACATATTCACATATAAACCCATCTGAGGATAAGCCAACCCTCAATTTTTTTTATCAAAACACCATGAAAAATGTGGCACCCAACCCTATCGGACCCAGACCAAGAACAACATAGAACAATCCAGCCACAGTTTATTTATTTATTTATTTACACTAGATTGACATAATCTTGCCTGTTTACAGCTATACCACTATACTGAAGTAGAAAGCTACAGAAATATCATGGAAGATTCCAGGGAATGTCTATCTTAAATCTCTTCTTCCTTCCATCCAGCTCCTGGCTGTATTATCTCTTGTGTTTGGAATGTGCTTCCTCCTTTCCAGGAAATTACCTTTTCACTGTAGTCCAGACATGTCAAACACAAGGCCCGGGGGCCGGATACGGCCTGCGAAGTACAATTTTGTGGTGGCCATCTATGCTGAAACGCATTCAATCTTAGCTCCACAAGGCCGTCTGGAAACAGTGAGGAACCAGCCCCTGCCACGTCGGCCCCACCCCCTGGGTGCATGCTGGGGAGATGTCACCCTTTGTGAGGAATGAAGAAATGCACCATCACCATCACCTTGGCCCTTGCCTACTTCACATATCCGGCTTGATGGGCTCTGGGGGAGGGGTTTCGGCAGGCAGCGGGGCGCTCTCCTCACAGGTTGGCACAAATCCAAAAAGAAACGCGAGGCCGCCCAGCTCCCATCCTGCCCTGTTTCAGCAGGCAGCTGGGCGCTCTCCTCACAGCACCAAGAGCTGAGCTGGTGGCGCAAATCTGATGAGAAGTGCAATACTGCCTAGCCCCCAGCCTGCCCAGTTTCAGCTAGCAGCAAGGTGCAAAGTTAGCGATCTTTGCACTGCTCGGCTCAACCTCTCGGCGCTGTGAGGAGAGCGCCCCGCTGCATGCCGAAACCATGCCCACCTAGTAGGCCACACCCACTCCATCCACTCCCACCCAGTAAGCCACACCCACCCTGGCCACACCCACCAGGCCCCCCGAGGGCAATTGCAATGCTGATGCAGGTCTCAATGAAATTGAGTTTGACACCCCTGCTGTAGTCCATCATATGACTTGCATTCTTAATGGTGTTTTGGTTAAAAATGAGAGGGTCTGCCTATCTGCAGTATATACCAGAACTCTTTATGGTATATAATATCTGTGAGGGCGCATTGGTTAGAATGCGATATGCAGGCTAATGTGCCCATAGCCAGGAGTTTGATTCTGACCAGCTCAAGCTTGTCTCAGCCTTCCATCTTTCTGAGGTCGATAAAATGAGTACCAAGATTGTTGGGGGCAAAATGCTGACATAATAAAACATTCAGAGCGTGCAAATAAAGCATTATGGAGTAGTATATAAGTCTAAGTGCTACTGCTATTGATGGATAAGCCCATCCATGGATAATCAGAATCTGATTTTTTTAGGTGTATTTTTGTCACCTAAAAGTCTTGTCTTACCCACAGGTATGTATATGGATCACAAGATACACATTGATATTGGCTCTCTAGTATTTTTGTACAGCAGAGTAAACTTACAGATCTGCTTGAATTTTCAAAGTACAGGCCAGCATTGTGACATACAGTATCTATAACAAGTATACCTATGATGTCCACCACATCAGGCCGGATAAGAGGCTCTCCTCCGGTCAAACGGATCTTGTCCACACCTTCCTTCACAAAGAGCTTGGCAAGAGAGATGATTTCCTGGGTGCTCAACAATTCGGATTTGGGAGTTAGCTGAACTCCTTCCTCTGGCATACAATACTGACCTGAAACATGCAATCAAGAGTATTAAGACATGCTTGTTTCCCAATATAAGAAGCAAACTATTTCCAAATAAGGTTACAATATTTTGCTTTCCCCTTTTTTCTCATGATCTGTAAAAAAACCCACAAAGAGTGAATGAATGAAAAAAAAATACCTACACATCACACTATCCTATAGATAGCCATCTTATATGCTATAATCCCAGGAAGAAACTGGCTCCTGGGGATCTTGAGATGTGAAAACTTCAGCTATATGGGAATTCTACAGGAAGCACAGCCATTGCTGAGAATTCTGGCACCTTAAATTTAGCACTTTTGTAGGGCTCCCAGGTAGAAAACACTGCAGTAATTTTTGTGAATTAGCAATTCACTTCATTACATACATCTGACAAATTAGACTACAGTTCCAAGATGTTTGTCATTAAACATACTCTTGTTTTTGTTATCTATATATTTTTCTGTGTTCCATAACCAAAACAGATGAACAGGAGACAAATCCAAAAAGTGCCAACACTTATTCAAATCCAACTTGTTGTATTTTGCTTTAGTAATGAAAGTGATAAGGGTTTACTATTTCAGGTTCCCAACTGCTCCAGGGGAAAGAAGATATGTTATCCAAACAAGTTGGACTAGAATATGTTTTAACACATCTGCTCTTTTGCTTCATCCAACAGTTTTGCTTTTAATTTCACAATCTAATTAAATCTGCAGGAAAAGAATGTTCTATAAGCTATTGGCCCGAACAGCTTCCCTCAGCACGAGAAACAGCATCAATGAAACAAATACAATTTTGGGATTGCAGTGTGTGGCATTCTGCAATTAAGTCATTAAGACGCTTGCTAAACATAGCTCCACTAATAAGATGTTATGACAGTGGTGGCGAACCTATGGCATGCGTGCCAGAGGCGGCATTCAGAGCCCTCTCTGTGGGCACGCACGGAGATGGCAACTGTCCCTCTTCAACCAGCTGCCCGCTAACTCGCCGAGATCCCACATGGCCAGATGCAGCCCAGTACCCATGCACTCACTGGCCTCTGTGTGCAGCGGCTGATGGTGTCAGGCAGCAGCCGCCCCGGCACCTGCCTCACCTTGCCCTGTGACAATGGCACCCCCAGCCTGCCTCGCCTTGCCTCGCCTCACCCAGCAGGACGAGCCTCCTATCCACCGCCACACCTGCCAGAGACCCCCTGGATCTCCCCCAACCCTGCCCGGCCCCCCACAGGCGTCCCTCCCCAGGAGCAACATTGAGGTGATCACACCCACCTTGGCCACACCCACCCAGTCTGCCATGACCACCACAGCCACGCCCACCCAGTGCGCCACACCCACCTGGCACCCGGCGATAAATAAGTGGGTTTTGGGTTGCAATTTGGGCACTCGGTCTCTAAAAGGTTTGCCATCACTGTGTTATGAGAACAAAACTTTGCATTTTATAACTTAGTTTATATTCAAAATAGAAAGACTTACATCTGAGGTTGCATTTCTCAGTTAGGGAGATTCTCAAGTAGTTGTGCTGGCGTCCAAAGCTATCAGTCAGGAAATCAGAAAAAGGGGCAGCATCAGATAAGAACCGTGTTCTTCTTGGGACTGCAATTGCCTATGTTATAAATAAATAAATTTTCCACTTTTTTGAGAGTTCATGGAACGTGAGTTGATTTTGTCGAATGTAGGAATGGGAGGGAGTAGGGAATATAATTAAGCGAAGGCAAGGAACTCAGCCCAGAGTACCCAATATTTGCATGCTTCTTTGCATTTCAAAAGCATGGCATTCTTACATGATAATACAGATTGATAGAGTGAAGGTGGTCATGGATATATTCAATATATCTTTATTATCTAGGTATTGAAATCTTTAGTAGATGTATCTGGTAAAAATGCCGGACAGTATCTTGTTTCCAGTTGCTCCAATTCTTTGGAATGCCTTAAGCATTCCAAAGGGTAATCAGACTAGATCACTCTCTGCTCTCAGGCATTATTTTTTTTCCAGGAAGAACTTTGGCTGCTGGAGTTATGGGATATTTCATATCTTAATTACATTTAGGAGTAAAGTTAATGGATAACACAATAATGGATTTTGCTCCCTTATTTTCAAGATTATTTATTATCAAGATCACGTAAAGTT